AATGGGGACGAGGTCGTGTTTATATCAACGTTGCATGGGGGGTGAATTTCACATAGTCGGGTTATTTATCAGGCATCGATGTAAGGTGCGTCGCCTGGTCTTAACTGTCCCCGGGTCTCCAGTATCATTCGCTGAACCCGGCGCAGAACTAGGGACGATGTTAAAACTGCTGTTGTCATACAGTATGTATCGATAGATCGACATCCGCAGACGTAGAATACACATGCTAGGTATCGAAGGCGCCGGATCCTGTCCCCGCTACCATCAACCAGCATAGTTCGTCTCATGCAGACCCCTCCGGTCGGCATCGAAAATCGGCCTCAACCCGGTCTTGTCCACTCCTTTTCTCTCCACCATGACAGTATACATCTTCTCCATCCCCGTTCTTCCTTTTCGTCCTCCCCATCCCGTTACATATCCGCAAATCCCTCCAGCGTAGGCATCACTCCTCCAGAGTACGCCCGTCCCACACTGCCCACGCTCTTCGGACTTGATAGACTCGGCTGACGCTGAAACCGGCCGTACCAAAACCGTATTCGCCGCTCAGAGGGATTCGGGTGTGGTACGGCTGGTCTTTGCGCTATTAGGGGGAGGGGGGTCGACGTGTCAGTGGCCCGCGTTAGGTGAGCATCTTTGTATATATCTGATTCAGGATTCAGACGAAGCGACGAGATTTGGGGCGCGGTCCTCCCTCCCCTTGCACTAACACACACGGTGTTCCAGTTCCAGGGAGGGAGAGCGTATGTTGTGACTTGATGTGTCAGGCGAGTTGGCTTGTATCCGTGAGGTCAGGACGGCGTTCGCTGACAGGCGAGCGCCTGTCGCCGTGACGCCAGAGAGCGGTATCGGGGTTCAGCACAGGCAGAGGGATAGCCAGATGAAGTCTCGCGTTCAAAACTTCGTCTGGCTTGCCGTCCGGTGTGCGTGGAACCTCAGACACCTCATCTTCGCGCTTTCCACTTTCTGGTACAGGCAGGACGAAACGTCACGCTCCTGGGGAAGGGAAGACGGCCCGGGGTGTTAAATCGTGAATAACAGCAGGCCTGTCCATTACGAAATGCTGTACCCCCAGGGAGAGACGAAGACCACTGGACATGCTCGAGCACGCCCTGGTATCTTCTGCCTGTCCCGGGGTGATAGGCCGCGAGCTGGGCACGGCATCGAGCATATCGTGCTCTGATCCCCCGGAGATGGGTCAACGAAGTACACTGTCCCTTGGAGAGAAAGGATATTTCGTGACCTATCTCCGGGGAGGCAGCTTCATGCGAACTCGTGCACGCAACCGCGGCCCCTGGACACGCGCGAGCACGTCCCGGTTCTTCCACCCTCCTGTGGGTGTTCGCGGAAGGTTAACTCCGTGTCGCGCATACATGCATACTCGCTGTGCGCCGATTCCGCGGAGACGTACAGGCGACCCGGAGGAGCCCATGGACCGTCCGATTCGTATACTGTCTCTGGGGAATCGGGTTGCTCGCAGACTGTCTTTCGCCGGGAGGTGGGTGCCGAGTCCCCGACTCTCCCTGGCTGGACAGGGACAAGGTGCCCATTTCTGGAGGGGTCGGCGTGAAGCCCGACCAGGGCATGCGACCCGCGCCGATTTCCCGGAGATGGGTAAGACAGGATAGTCCACCTCCTGGAGGACTCACCCGTCCTACCGATCTCTCGTGAAGTCCGCCCGTGAAGCTAACTTGCCACGCATGCCTAGGGTGCACGCTCAGACCAGGCACAGTTTGTCCGGAGATGGGTAGAACAGCGCTGTCCGCTCCAATTGGACTGGCCTCTTCTTGCCTCTCTTGGGCAAGTGGGCCTGTAAAGTGGAAGTGGTGATGCGACCGGAAAGCTATTATATGTCGCGTGTGCTATGGACTGTTCCCTGAGAGACGGCTGCTGACTTACCGGAGCCATTAGCTACATCGCAGATAACTGGGTACATGCCTTGAAGAAACTAAACGTCGGTGGGTCCGATGGTGGGCGCATGCAGCACCGTCACGTCCTTCACAATACTCCTGCGAGACAGACAAGACGGGGGTGTTGGCGTCCATAGTCCAAGCGCAGGAGCGGTGAAAGGGAAGACGAGGCCCGAAACCATGTATCGGAGTGCGAGAGGGGAGTAGTGGATACCATCTGTGCTCTCCACTCCTGCCTTAAATACCTATGAAACGGAATCAAAGCGCGGCAGTGGCGGCCGCCTTGTGTCCATGCGTGTCTCAGCCAAGCGTGATACACTATTGTTGTGACCCGTACGGACCCACTGTCGATGCGTTCATTTAACGGCTTGGAACGAGTCGGGTTCGAATTGGCCTGGAGGGCGAGGGTCAATGCGCTTGTAGGTTTCAGTCAATGGTAACCCATGCTTTTGTGTTGATCGGTGGATATTTTGCCAAAGATGATTCGGAGTTTGTTCGCTTTAAGGTTCCGTTCCGTTTACGTCCCCTGAGAGACTGAGGTGCTTGTAAGTAGATGCCGGAGGCCTGAAGACCTTACAGTGAGATAAAGTACTGGACACTCTCGAGCGGGATAGGAGCGTTAACTGGACTGTTGGTATCGCTCACGGATGGCGTAGTTGGTATGTCGTTCAGGTCTCCGCTGATGCTATGGATCTAGACAGCGTTAGAACGCTTGAGTTGAAGATATGCTTCATGAATTGCCGTGTGGTGGCGGACCACTTATCGAGCATTCAGCGACAAGCATTTGACCGTGTCCGCAGACCGGGTCAAGAATGACCTGTGACTATCTACATGTTCACGACGGAAGACAATAGAGGGTCGAATCCTTGAGGTGAGCCATTGTAATCCGATTCAGAATATGACGTTGTCCTCACTAGCTACAGGCCGAGGAATGCGCCGTTGCTGTAGCCGCTCTTAGCGGCGTAAGGACCAAGAGTCAGAAGACGAGACTGGAAGAATTACTGGTATTTTCTTCTGAATATGGTCACAGTAGACGAGGGATGACTCGGCATCATTAACACCTAAACTAGGACATGAGGAGGTGGCGTAAGACTAGTGTATATGTACGCCAAATGACAGGGTGGAATGTATGAGGCGGTTTCACCGTACATGCTCCTGAATCTCCTTGCTTGACGGCTTATGATCGAAAAGGCGAATATATTGGTGATAGGAAGACGACATCCCCATCTGTTGCATTTCATAGTGAGCAATGAGATGACACGGGAAACATGGCCAGTACGGTCACCACAGCAGGCGGTCGGGTAAGAATGTCATTTCCCAGCCATCAGGATAGTAGCGGAAGTCACGTAGGACCAAAGTTTCTGTACCAATTAGAGGAAGGGACCTGGCGGGTACCGAGGTGCACCGTCGCACATACCGGTGTAAGAGGGTAACACATATCGGACTGAATAGTTACAGGCAGGGCGAAGGAGTTTGCAGCCTCCTCAGCCTAGGGTTCTGTATAGTTCAGGAATGCATATAGGCCGGCGCTTGCCGAAAAGCAGCAGCGTAATCAGTGCTCATCGCCAGTGGTCCTACCTCGACTGCTATAGCTGACAACTGTCCGCTGCCCATCTTTGACTCACTCTATCACGATGCTGACAGTCATCGACATCCTCTTCACGAAGGCTGAGGCTACTTGCCTCAGTAGTCAACAGGCCATGTCGTCCCCGATTAACACAGGAGGTGACGACCTGACGGAGGCTCACTCACTGGTTGTGAATTGTTTTCGATTGCACGGCTGATAAGAATCCGTCATGTGTTGCACCCCGAGGCAGCGAAACGTATAACTGACCTCGACGAAGATCCGCAGCGTCCAAAAGCTAGTCCTCGCATCCATCAGAGGAAGTCAGGCTTGTGAAACACACTACCACGTTGGCTCACTTCCTACCGCGTATTGACCATGTCTTTGATGCATTGCCTACCGTCGAGTGCGGCCTCGCGGCGCTCGACGAAGAAGTCACACAGGAGGAGTGGTGGAGCATGCTGGCCGAACTCACAAATCTCCCCGATGGAGCAGGGAATGTATTTGCAGCCGCCGTTCATCCTACGAACCGAGATATGCAAGGCAAAAGACCTGAGATTACGACGAGCAGCGTCGAAGTCGGAACGTGCAATACCTCACCTACTGCGTCTGACGACCTCCTCCCCACCACACCGACTGATGACGACGGCTCGTCCACCGTTGTCCCCGGAGAGGCGGGCGGCGAAAACTCATACGTCCTTCGCAGGACCAAGGGTGACGTCGGTCGGAACAGGTCGCCCCCTGACGCCCAGGGCTCTCCAAGACTTCACCCTGGATTTCATCAACGAGGCCACGGAGAGGTCGAGGATCCCAGGCAACAGCTCGACACCTCCGCTGTCGAGGCACTACATGGGGTACACTAGCCCTACTAGATTCTCCCCTGAGAACACCACACGGACATGATTCACCAGACCGCATTGACGGGTATGAAATAGAGGGATGGGGCTCATACCTTGTAGAGTAGAGCGAGTGTCCGGCGGGGGGAGACGCCACACCTCAATATTTTCGCTTTGATTTTTTTCTTTGGCTCGTTCTGTATCCTTATCATTCCAAAGTAGCCCTGTACGCTCGGTAGTCTCGCACCGTCTTGCAGTGCAGGCAGCGGGCCTAGAAGCATTTCGAACCGCGCGATTATGGTCTTCGGCACCTGCCGTGAGAACATATAAGTCCGACTTCAACCACATCCCCCCCAATTCGCACCTTGACCACCATCGCCCACCATCGCCCGGAAACAATTGCAACAATGTACTCCTGCTTCAAGAATCTTTTGACTTCTTTGGAAGCCTTCGCCCTGAGCACATCT